TTACACATCAAACACTTCTACTGTTAAGAGAAAAAAAATGGTTATCAACACGCATGAAATGAATTTACGGGTCGTTTGTTGAATCAGCCGCACTACGACGTGTTGAATATTGCATATCACGTTTCGATATGTGATTTATAACGTAGATATTGGTAACTGTAACAATTTGTAAAATCCTCTGAACCGATATCAGCAATCTCTGACCTGGTGGCCAAGGAATTATTTCTGCAATAAAACATTTTAGTCGTTTGATGAAAACTTTTTGTTTATAGATCTCTTTGTGAAGACCTCATTGCTGTGTCTGTTTCCATTTTTTATTAGGCTTTTGAGGCTGGAAGGGCTAAACCATCTGTGTAGCTCTCATCAAGAGTAATCATGGATCAACTTACAGTGACGAGAGACGAAGGTGAAAGGATGAAAAGATATCGATATGAGCATAGCCAGTGTGATATATGCAGTGAAATTGTTTCATATGAGTAGATTACAAAAAACACGTTTTGATATTCTTAACATGGAAAATGGAAGATTTAGCGTGAAAAACAAAATACATGTGTATTGACGCCTGGTAGAATGAATACCTTTACTCATACCAGTTCAGTTTAACATCAGTTTTCCAGCAATAAAAGAAAGTTCAATCACTTGTAATCTACTTTCTTGGGAAGATAAGAAGCCTAGGAACCTTATATGCGTTTCTAAAACATTTCCCAAGGGCCTCCATAATGGGTGTGGGTAGAGGGAAGCCTTCAGTGTTGAGTACCACCTGGGAGTAGACCTGCTGAGGAGGGAGAAGTACTGTGAGGTGTTGCTGGGAAAGTATGTATCTTCTTTACTTGGTGTTTCTCCATTTGGGTTACATGGTAGATTGTACGTCTGGTATATAAATATATATATATATATATATATATATATATATATATATATATATATATATATATATATATATATATATATATATATATATATATATATATATATTTATATATAACAAAATACCTTCCATCTTAATGTGGCATCCCTCTTGTGTGATGCCTCTTCTTTACGTTACACAAACATACTAATGAACGTAACTTTAGAGCATAGTTCGGTGAAAGCACGGAGAGAGAACATAAGACGTTGTTGTAAATGACGTCTGGCAGTCTCAAGTTTCGTAAGGGTAAATGCAGAAGGAAAGAATCTCTAACTAAACTAAAAGATGTTTAGAAACACCATCGCCAGATTGTTCGATTTGAGTTCATTAGTCAGAAGTCTAAGAACACTACACGACTTATAGAGCTTATCAGATTCGTTTTAGATACGTAAGCGATATGATAACATGAGTAACACAAGATGAATAGCAAATCAACATGGTAAGTCTCTTGAATAAATCTCTGTAAAGGCAAGAAAAATTCCGGGACAATGAATGGTGTTAATCCACTAGGAAAGTTAAATGGGAACTGGAGGTACAGGAGAGTTCCGGCAAGTGTTGGCAAATAGGACAGACTATTACAGTTACTCAGGAAAGCTTTAAACAGCGACCTCATTCACCTGACTCGTTGTCCTTTACCAAGAATCCCCTAAATTTTTTTTAGTGAGAACCGTCAAGAACTATGTTCGGTAATGTAGGGAGAAATTATCCCTGACACTGTTCATAAGTGCAACTTTAGATCTGTTACCACTCACTGGCAGTCTCCTGCCTTCCAGTGTCTGCCAACTGAGTTTAACCTTCCATAAACTCCCAGACAAACTGGTCGTTGAGGTGAGATATTCACCTGACTTACTGCCACAACACAATGTCTTCCCAGTTTGAGAATCTTGCCAACAGACCTACCAATCTTTTTTTCATGTAGCTCTTTCATGAAAAACAAAAACTATTGTGAGGGAAAAAAATTGAAATGGCTTATATACTTTACAGACTAATGAGGCGTTCTGTCGAGATAATTTTACTAAGTTATCATCTTATGGAAACATATCAAGTATTTTTTCTTTGACTTTAATTTCTATTATTATCTAACTGTAGTACATCACTCCTTCATCACAAAAAGCTAATAATTCGTTGAGTTCCCGTGGAGAAACACTGTATTAGTCCAGTAACCATTTATCTAACTCCAGTCCTTCCTTCCCTTGACATTAAAACTAGGAATTCTTCTCTCTGTGAGGTGACAATGGAAGCGTATCACATCTCTGTTTCACCCCAACAAAATTAATGACTGGGCTCCCCCCTTAGCACCAGCACCGCCAGTCTAACCTTTGCTTTTCAACATCCAGAACGATACAACACCAATTCTCCCAATAACACCACACCCGCTTCATTACACAGATTCTCTCATCTAACAATAGCCGAATACAAAGGCTTTTACTGCTAAAATATTATCAGGGCAATATTTTCAAGGGTATGTGTTCGTTCCTGGTCTCACATATCAGTATTAAATCTTCCTGCAGCCTTCTCAAATTACCAATTATAATCTGGTTTTTGTTTTATGCGTATTTTATTCTTCCCTTTTACGCTGACGTCTTATTTATTCCATAATATTTTTGGCACCGTTGCTTTTAATCACTGGTAAAGACCATATGAATTGTATCAGTCCTTTAGAGGTTATTTTTTCCCTCTGAGTCGTTGGAAATAATGATGGAAAATATTTACGTTTCCGCTCAATATTGTCTCCCGTCGCACCCTCCTGCCTAAGGGAGTATGGGCTTAAATTGCTTGTTTTACATTCATGTGTTTGGGAATTTTGAGCACAATAACTTGAGCAATTTAGCCATGACTATCAACCAGACTTTGTTTTCTGGGTACAGCACAACAAGATTTCTTAAGTATTTAGCATTTAACTTTTCCTGTTGTAAGTTTCTAGAGTTTTGGTGCTGTGTGTTTGAGGGGAGAGGGGGGACTGACCCATCTTTAGTAATGATCTTATTTATCACCTATTCCTTTCTCTCCCTATCTTATATTAATTACTAGTTCCTCCTCTATAACATTCGAGATAAAAACAGGATATTTCACATTAGGAAGACTTTATTACAGTATATAACTCCCCATTGTATAATTTTCCCCCCATCTCTTTTCACTACTCGATTACAAAAACACAAATCCAATCCCATCATCGAAGCCTTTCTCAGTCAGTCCCTCTTTCTCACTCGCTCTGATACTCACAAAGAGCGATGAGACGCATCATAAGATTCTGATGAGAAGATAATGCAAGTTGACAGGTATTAGGGAGTCTGTAGCACCTCAGTGTGAGAGGGATGGAAGGAGGAAAGGAGGGAGGGTGGGAGGGTGGGTGGAAAAAGGAAATAAGGAGGGCAGGAGAGAGGGAGGGAAAGAAGGAAGGAGGTTGGGAGGGTGGGTGGGTGGAAAGGGGAAGTAGGGAGGGAGGGGCGATGAAAATCAAAATCACAGAACAAAATCACAGAAAAAAATTGGGTACTTCAGTTAAAAATGAATATGGAGCGCCCCTTCCCGTGTGGCCATAAATCTTGATTAATTGCAGTCATAAAGTTTGAAATAGAAATTCCTCTTTGTATTGGATGCGATGCTGACATTCACTCACCCTTGTCGATCCCTGGTTAAGTAGAGACGGAACCATTTTTACTGGCGAGGGGACATTTTGTAGTGGCAGTGGAACAATATATGCGCGATGCTGTAGCGGCAATGGAGCAATATGTGACATTTTCCTGTAGCAGTAGAGCTAATATGTGTGGTATTTTGTAGAGGCGATGTAACAAAAAATACCATGTTAAAGATTATTTTTTTCTGTACGGAAGCTGAATGGTTTTGTCTCCAGCCAGACCTAAACAGCCAGTGTTATTTTTTCCGGTAAGTTGTTCTTATTATGACATTTACATATTTAAAAACGAAATGGATGTATTGTCTAGATATTTACATGTTCATAGCCGTAACGAAGCAGTCAGATACAGCTCTAGTCTTCATTATTTTACCTGAAGAGACTAAACACCATTCTAAAAAAAAAAAAAATATTATTTTTCGCCATACACAGAGAAAAAGCACAAACGTACAGACAAACACAAACGTACAGACAAACACAAACGTACAGACAAATACACAATCGTACAGAGAAATACACCCCACGTACAGACACACACACACACAGATATACAGAAAACACACAGACGTAAAGTCAAAACACAAATGTACAGACAAACACACAAACATACAGACAAACAAACAGACATACAGACAAACAAACAGACATACAGACAAACACGCAGACATACAGACAAATACACAGACATACAGAAAAACACACATACAGACAAACACACAGACTTATAGATAATCATAAACTCGAAATGAAAGCAATAACCTCTTGATGCCTGAAGACAAGAATAACGATTTGACATCACGATATATAAACTCTTTCATGACGAAGAAAACTTAAAAACATTTGGGAAGATTTTTTGTGTTTTTTTGTTGGGGAGGAAAATGCTGAATTGTAATAGGATCGTAGTGGTACAATAGTCGATAGATCAAGGAGAGATATTTCCAATCTTTGTGACTTGACACTGGCCTTCACAGTTCCCTGGTCACCTAATTACTACCATCAGCCGTCTCCTCTTCCACTTGTTCACCTTCAACCAAATCTGACCTCTCCTCCCTCATCACTTCACCTAACCTGAACTCTCCTTTCCCATCACCTAACCTAATTTCATCTCTTCTCTCCCACATTTCCCTCCCACCTACTCAAATACTTAATTTCTCTCACTATTCCTCATATCTGCTTCTCACTCTTCAATATCATACTTAAAATGCCTCACTTTCATGAATGCATCCATGTGTGTGTGTGTGTGTGTGTGTGTGTGTGTGTGTGTGTTATACGCATGTAAGTATGGATGTCTGGATGTGTATGGGAATATAGACTTTCATTCGTCCCTGTGTGTGTGTGTGTGTGTGTGTGTGTGTGTATGAGGCGCGTGCGTGGAGGCGAGTGAGTGAGCGTTGTGTTCACGGGTGAGTGAGAGAGTGCGTGAGACGCAGGCCAGCTCAGTTCGGTTGCAGCCTCGTGACTGTACCACAGTAGGGAGCGGGCAGGCTGGCTGGGTGTGTAGTCCTACTTCGTTGACAGACCACACACATATACTCCTTCCGTCACTCCCCCATAACTTGAAAGTCTCCAGATAACTAACAAACCTTAACTAATCTAACTCTGTGGCTATAGTGATTCATGAATTAGAAAACTTTCGGACGAATACTCAGAGATTTATAATTCTCTCACGACACCAGGAAGTTTCAGAGACGGGTGGCAGCCTGTTGCTCTATGTTAATGTGGACGTCTTCCGGGAACATAGATATTTGAAGGAAGAAATTTGAATTTTTGGGGTTGTAAGTATTTGACTCGTTTTACTTCATACTAATTGATTGCTTAGACACTTATTGTGTATGTAAACTATTTTTATATGCATCTTGTGAACATTGACTGAATATGTGCTAAGTAGCATAGAAAAAACTATTTACTTTCATTTACAGTAAGAAAAGGTATGTATAGCCAAACGCATGATGTTATGTATATGCAAATACAATCCCTATACGAAAAATTACCAATACAAAATCACATACATACACAAATAAATAATACTCTCCTTCCATAAGAAATAAATAACGAGAAATTAATCCTCAATAATTGCTGTTTAAGATAGGGAAATAATAATGTAGATATGATATTACATGATTATCCAGGAAGATCTTTGAAACAGTGTTAAAATCCCCGATGATTTACACGCTATTAAGTTATCACGAGGCTGACAAGTCTTCCAACATTGGCACGACAACATTGATCTCTCTATCTGTGTCCAAGCCGTGTGTGTGTGTGTGTGTGTGTGTGTGTTCTTTATATTATCGCGTTCACCACAGCTACCAGTCACTCACATTCTCAGTCACTCACATACCTTGCAGTTACACACATTCTCAGTCACTCACATCCCTTACAGTTACTCATACCCTGACAGTTACTCACACCGCTCACAGTTACTCATCACCTCTGACAGTTACTCATCATCTCTCACGTTACTCACACCTCTCACAGTTACTTACACCTTACAATTACTTACACTTCCAGCCACTCACTCTCCCACAGTCACTCACACCTCACAATTACTTACACTTCCAGCCACTCACACTCCCACAGTCACTCACACCTCTCACAGTCACTCACACCTCACAATTACTTACAATTCCAGCCACTCACACTCCCACAGTCACTCACACCTCTCACGGTCACTCACACTTTCACAGTTACTCACACTGCCACAGTCACTCACACCTCTCACAGTTACTCACGCTCCTACAGTCACTCATATTCTCACCATATTCACTACACCTCACCATCAATCACCCCCCCATAACATCTCACCTTCAAAAGCACTCTTACCTTACCTCTAAATACCTTTCAAACTTGTATATATAAAACGCGGTCTGCAAAAATTGTATACCTTCGAGGGAATTTTACAACATTTCATCATTTCACCTTTAAACACAGACAAACAGACAGGCAGACAAACAGACAGGCAGACAGACAGCCAGACAGACACACACACACACATTAAAAATAAATAAAAAAAAACCTTCACACGAGTCGTAACATTCCTAAATATTTTTCGACAGAGCTTAAATAACATGGAAAAATATCCGCATGAGGATGAACACGTAATCAAATAATTTAACAAGAACAAGAACAAAAGAAAAATACATGAATACAAACACAATGACAATTTAAACACATACCGTACGAACACTGACAAATTAAACGGACCAATTATATAACCCCCACTTATCATTAAAGGTTTCTTTTTACCACACATGCACGAAAACATTTTAACTTCTGCTTAAAATGAGGAATTTTTTGGGTGGTCTCTGTATTATAGGGAATTTACATCACCAAATACTGCACTACTTTCTGTGTTCTTTTGGAAACAAGATAAGAGTATTGGAGGTTGCGAAGTGGCTCAGAAATTTCTTCGAATGTGTGTGTGTGTGTGTGTGTGTGTGTGTGTGTGTGTGTGTGTGTGGAAAATACACATAACCTCCAGACTCCCAGAATTCAGGAACAAGAACTGAACTTAATAAAAGTCTTGCTTCTACCTGGGTATCAGATGCGAGGTACGTGTGTGTGTGGGCAGGTAAAGGGAAGAGTCCTCTTGTCAGTAAAAGAAAGAGTAGCGACTCTTCCTGTGTGTGTGTATGTGTGTGCGGGGAGTGATGGTATGGATCAGGGTCGAGGCTGGTGTGGTGAGGGGATGGTGTTGTTGGTAGTTATGGAATAAGTGGAAGTGGTAGCAGTAGTGGTGGTGGTGGAAGTGATGCTCGTGGTAGTAGTAGTAGTAGTAGTAGTGGTGGTGGTGGTGGTGGTAGTGGTGATAGTGGTGATGGTGGTAGTGATAATGGTAGTGGTAGTCTCGTCGGGGTGTTTGGCAATGACCTTCAAGATAACATAGCTTCCGTTATGTTCTTTCCAGACGAGAGTTTCAGGCTTTTATATTGGGGATCTTCAGTTGGTTGTATAACGCTATGCGATACTAAAACAAGCAGGCTAGTGGCTTTACCCTTGCAGTGAAGCCACCTAACAGCGTCATGAATATAGATAGAGAGGAATGCTCGACAAACATTTTACCAGCCAACAGGGAAGGCGATTCTGTTCTGCGTTTTTTTTTACCATAATATTTATCTATCAATGGTGGTATTAAATAATGTGAAGTATATTACCTTGACCCCTGAAGTATTCTACCCTGATCCCTTATATACTAAAGTTGCTAAGCTTGATTGCAGCCATTCTGAAGTGACTTAGTATTATAATCGATATTTACCACTACAATCAACATAATCGACTTTCTAATGTGTCATAACTTCAATAGTGTGTAAGTGTGATATATGAAGATTACCAGAAGTTCAGCATCGGAAGTTATATTCATTAAGGGGATTACATTCCGTCTAAGATGCTTAATGTAATAACCGAGTTTAATTACAATATTGTTAAGACATTCATTACGGGATGTTAATTTTGGTGTATAATGGAACTAATGCACATATTTGCTTTAAATTTGATACTCTGGTTAAATTCTGTAATGAAGGCTAAACATTAAGCTGTTGGGATATTTAAGGTTAATTGAGAGTGTAAATTGTTACACTGTTACACTCCCTAGCGAGAATGTAAGATATAATGCTATCCCGCACGTCGTTATGTCCAGCTCATCCTTGGCCAGTGATTCCTATGAACCTGAAAACAACACTTGATTGACTTACCAATTTTCTTGAAGTTTGGCAAGAATATTGGTTCCTCTTCGCCCCCCTGCCTCTGCCTCCCCGCTCACCCTCCCTTCCCCCCATTCTCCCACCCCCCCATTCTCCCATCCCCCTTCCCGCTAAGAGCCCGGGTGAGTTTCATAACAAGGGTGATCCAATTATTTTAATCAAGGTAGGTGAGGTTGTTCGAGGATAAAACATGTGTTTAACTTTAGCGAACGAAAATAAGCGGAATGCAGTTTTGAATAATCAACCCTAAAGAGCAAATTAATATCTGAACATGTAATCTTATTTATTCAGTTTCGTGTTATTGGTAATGTTACGATTTAGACAATAAGGTGAGATGATAATCATTAAATTGGCCCAAGTCCTTTATGGTTCCATAATTCATCACTTAGAATCATCGTTTGGAAAGAGACATCATCATTAACACATGATTGTAATATTAGTCTGGTGAGAATAATGTGTAGGGAATTTCTGTCAGTGTAACGTAGCTTTTAATGTATACTGTGTAGGTCTGTATACATGGGCACTACTGAACGTGGTGACTGGTAAGCTTCAATCAGATCTAACCCAACCTAATAATGAGGATTGGTGATTAGTCTTAAATTGATCTAGTCCTAGTGGACTCCACTTCTAATAGGCTCCAGTTTCAATTGTTATGGAGGGTCAATATAATACTGAACATAAAGTCACGGGAGCTCCACTATTACCAAACACTATGTGGCAACCATTTTTTTTTCACCACACAATACCGAACGTGAATTTGTGGTATAATGTATGATTGACACGCGCTCTTACAGCCATCAAATGTCCTCAAACAGCTCGAGGCAATAGTCGAGTTAAAAGGGAAATAAATAAAATTTCCCAGAAAATATTATACGGGCGCTGTTGATTTAGGCGTAAAAACAAATAATGAAAAAAAAAATCATAGCGCCTTAAGGGGTTTCAAGACCGTGTGCTGGAAAGTCGTGTGTAAATAGAGCAACTCTTTAGCAGTCTATAAAATATTTCGCCATCGGAACACTACAACACTACAACACGTTATCATATAAACTGATTACTTAGGCAAAATATCTGGAAGGAGAGTATTACATGTCAATCTAATAATGTCTTTACACAGGTCACCCAGTCCATGGTAACCAGAGGTAATTGTGGCAACTGAGGAATTACAAACCATTACCATTACCTGTCGATGGTAATGGTAGAGGAATGAACCACCGAAGGAACACATTTTTTTGTTTTAACAAGAACACGATAAAATTTCGTTCACCAAGATTGCTTCGTTAACTCTCTGGGATCCTTAAACAACTTGAGGAAATTGAGTTGAAGTTGTGGTGGGTGTATCGGTGGCTGGCTCACAGGGCAATGTTAAGTCGCAAGTCTTCACCAACTTGTGTGTAGTCTTCCTTCTCTTCTTCCTTCTCTTCTTGTCAATTTTGTTGTTGTTGATGTTGTTGTTGTTGATGTTGTTGTTGTTGTTGTTATTATTGTTGTTTTTGTTGGTGTTGCTACTGTTGTTGTTTTTATAGTTGTCGTTATGGTTGTTGTTGATATTGTTGTTAGTGTTGTTGTTGTTATTATTCTTGTTGTAGCTATTGTTATTATTGCTATTGTTGTTTTTGTTGTTGTTGTTGTTATCGTTTTGACTGCTGTTGCTGTTGTTACATCCTTCGCCTTAATTTAAAATTTTCCTGATCACTTTACTGAAATGAAGTTCGCCACGTCTCTCATGCAATACAAGTCTCCTGTTTTTCTTTCATACACTTCGGATGAGTCGCCAAAATATTGCAGTGTTTGTTGAGGATTCATGTTGGCGTAAAATTCTGCCCACTCCTTTGGAAAAGACTTTGGTAAAAGGATATTGACGAGCAAACTTCATCGCTTTCGTTCTTATCGCCTTTCTTATCACATTCCCCTTGTATATCATCGTAATTTTACATATCTATCGTCCGCCAGGGATAATCACAGGCCATCAAAGTTCTTATCACAAGCCTTCATGTTTTCTAATTTTCCTCCTGAATACATTACGTCAAAACCTATACAGGAGACCTCACGACTGCTGTCTTTTGGGGTAAAGAAAAATG